ATGCAGTTTAAGGCTCATAACGTCGGTAAATTAATATGTAGAAATTATACACGGACTTTACGTTAATTTCTGGTTTCAGTAAGAGGGCCGAAAGCTCGCAAATAAAAGTATTTTAACGTAGAGAAAACTCCGTGGATAATTTTACATAGAAATAAATGCAGTCGGATAAGTTTGAAGGTTTAAAAACATATTGTGAGTGTCAGTGCGTTTTGGTGTTCGTAAATACATAATATGCAAAGGAACAAGGTGATACTTTTCAGAAAATGATTCCAGATACTAGAACACGATATAAATAAACTGACTTACAGTGAATAATGAAGTAGTTGTATTTAATAAACTGTCAGAGCGTGGTCTATTGCTTAGGTGTCGGGCTGCGTATCGGGAGGTACGTGGTGGGAGGCGTGCTGCTGCTGAAAAGATGGATAATATCATTACTTTTGTGTCAAATAGATTAATCAGTTGTAGTTGCGTTTACATTATTGGAGCATTGATAATAGTAACGTAAAACGTGTACGAATAACCCATTTTTCATGTATATTATCATTCGTACGAAATTCAAAAATCAGAGGCTGTTAAAGACGTTTTGTCGTTTTGTGCTGTCCTTTAACTGAATAAAGTGTTGCCAAAAGATAGAAGCTGTTGGGGACATTTTTTACTTTACTATTACTGAAAACTGTTGCCCAAAAGATAACAGCTGTTGGGACATCTTTTACTTTACTAGTGCTGAAAGCCCCCCCCCAGTAGCACAGCGGTATGTCTGCGGACTCATACCACTAGAAACCGGGTTTCGATACCCGTGACGGACAGAGCACAGATAGCCCTTTGTGTAGCTTTGTGCTTAATAACAAACAACAACTACAATTACTGAAAACTGTTGCCCAAAAGATAGAAGCTATTGAGGACCTTTTTTACTGTCTTTTAACTGAAAAAACTGTCACCCAAAAGATAGAAGCTGTTCAGAACATTTTTGCTGTCCTTTTTTTTAAAGTTTTCTTTAATGACTTAATCTACTTAAATACTCCAAGAACTAGAGTGTTGTTCAACAATAATTACAAACCTAATTTAAATGCAGATTGAATAATACACCATATTTAATACCTAAAAAGCTTTGATTGTAACACTCGGAATCCATTTCCACTGCTCATAGTAAATTACAAACTAAAATTGTTATATGTTACAGCTGACATTGTAAAGAAATCGCATAGAAATATTTTCTAAATAACTGATATTATCAATTTCATTCCCCTAGCGAGATAATAAATGACAAAAGACAGATAAACGAAACAAGAACATTGACTATTTGATCGCATTAGTTCGAGATATAAAATGTTAAGCTGCAACTGGAGATTGTCATGGAGATTTGTTTGAGAGTATGGTGAATATTTATAGTTTCTACGTAACTAAACTGTCTATATATTATGCATATCAATGGGCAAATACATAACTAGACAAAAACACAGCCCCCACTGAGCGTGTATAAAATCTTAACAGTAGAAAAGCAGCCTTTTCAAATAAAACATATACGTCTAAAACATCGCTTTAAATATACCTTCGTGTCTTTTAAAGTAATTATTATACGAATCTGTG